TGTTGTTTGGCGGGCCCGGGCTGGGGATTCGAACCCGTCACCTTAGGTGTATGTGGCTGGTGCCTTAGCCGCTTGAGCCACAGGCGCCGAGCCGATTCTTTTCTTTCTATATTAAAAACTAAAATTTTTATATTAAAAGCTAAAGTTTTCATGTATGTTATAGCAAAGACCTTTTAAAAAGATCTTGTTAATAATTTTGAAGTACATATAGTTTTTTAAAAAAATTATTCTAAAGTTTTTTTTATCTGATTTGGAAGAATGTAATGCTCTATTCAAAACCAGCCTGTTCAATTAACTTTAAAGTTGCTGTCATTTGCATAACGTGAAGATGCTGTCATTTGCATGGGTGAATTAAATGAATATAAATTTTTAACAAACAGATTATCATCTGTTTTTACAATTAGATGGAAAATACTGACCTATTTTTCTATTTTTTCCTAAGTTTGCACTCTTTCTAAATATGAAAATATTTAGATTCAACCTTTAACATTGATAAAATTAGAATAAAATAAAATGATTTGGCTGGTACAATGGATCATTTGAGGCCAGGAGTGGAAGGATCAGTTGAGCCAGGAGTTAAATACCAGCTGGGGCTGCATACCAAGACCTCATTTCTATAAAACATTTAAAAATTAGCTGGACACCATAGCATGTGTCTAGTGCCAGTTACTCAGGAGGCTGAGGCAGAACGTTTGCTTGAGCCCAGAAGTTTGAGGTTTCAGTGAGCTATGATGCTACCACTGTATCACTAGTCCCACAACAGAGTGAAACATTGCCTCAAGAAAGAAAAAATTTCTCATAAGTAGTATGAATTTTTTTGCCATAAATTACTATCAGAAATTATGTTTATCACAGTGATGGAAATACAGAAGGTATATTTAAATATCCGAGAAGAAGGATATAGGGATATCATGGAATTATGTCTGATTTCTTTGGAGACTGAATATAGTAAAGTAGCTCTGCAATTTACCTTTGTATTTTTTTTTAACGTTTATATTTCTAAATAACATGCTTTTATTGCTTCTTCATGTTTCACTTGACCAATGTCTACGAATTTCACGCTCAGAGATTATGATTTATCTCTCGCTGCTATACTCACACACACCCCCTTTCCATCTCTGTGTCCCAATATAATTACATGGAAATTTTGGTTAGGTGAGTATTCATTCATTAGTACAGTATTATGATTATGTAAATATGATCAGATAGTTTACCACGAGTAGTTTTCTTTTCCTCAATGTGATCTTTTGTTTTCCTTAGAGTTCATAAATGACTAAAATGTTTAATTTTCAATGTGATTATCACATGTTCAGTCTCAAACATGTTGCCAGCTATCTAGAGATTCTTCATATATATAATCAGAATTTAAATTGCCATTTTAGGGAGTTGATACAGATTGTGTTACATCTAAGTCTCCTCAACATTACAGGTAAATTGTTAGAATTGATTAAAATGTCAATTGTTCCCAGATTGATCTGAGTTTTAATGTGGCAGCCATCAAAATCTGAGTAAGTTTTTCATAGCACTTGACAAGATAATCATAAAATGTATATGGGAATATAAAGTACCATGAGAGGACACCTGAAGACGATTGGCAAAGTAGAAAGACTTGTTCCCAAGGATATTGAGACAGACTAAAGCTGTAATAATACAGTATGCTGTTTACTTGAGGATAAATAGACTATGTAGTAGAACAGGAAATTGAAAAACTGAAGAATATAAGCATTTGATTTAAAGAAATCAAATAAGGGGAAAAATATATGAGGAAAAGACCTACTTTTCCATCAGGAGTGCTAGGATCATTGACTAGCAATGTGGGGATAAAGTAAAACTTGACCCCTTCCTCGTAGCATACCAGATGTCAGTTTGATGTAGCTTGTAGCTCTAAGTGTAAAAAAGTAATAGAAAAACATCTAGAGATACTTTTATGATTTTTTCAGCAGTGGGGAAAGATTGAAGCAGAATCAAAAGGACTAATCTCAAAGAAAAAGAACGAATTTGTGTTTGGTAAAAGCCATCATTAAGAGAGTGAAAGTTGGCTAGGCTCAGTGGCTCATGCCTGCAATCTTAGTACTTTGGGAGGCCAAGGTAGGTGGATTGCCTGAGCTCAGGAGTTGAAGACCAGCCGGACCAAGAGTGAGATCCCATCTCTACAAAAAACAGAAAAACTAGCTGGGTGTTGTGGTGGGCACCTGTAGTCCTGGTAACTCAGGAGGCTGAGGCAAGAAGATCGCTTGAACCTGGGAGTTGGAGGTTGCTGTGAGCTGTGACAGAGCAGCACTCCACCCAAAGGATAGGGCGACAGAGTGAGACTCTGTCTCAACAACAACAAAAAAGAGAGTGAAAAGTAAGCCACACATAACTACCTGGCAGAAGACTCATGTGTGGAATATGTGAAGCACTGTTATAAATCCATAGGCAAAAATGTTTCAAAATTGTCAAGACACTTGAATAGACAATTTAGACAAAAGATTATCCAAATACCTTATGAATATATGCAAAAGTGAACAGCCTCGTAAGTAATCAGTTAATGCAATTGCAAACCACAATTAAATGATACAATACTCCTCCCACCCCAAAAAGGCTAAAATTAAAAAAGATTGCCAGTATCAAATGTTGATGAAAACGTGGAGCAATAGGAATGCTTCTGTGCTTATGGCAAGAATGCAAATTGTAAGCTGTAACCCACTAAGTATATATCAAACAGAAAAGAACACGTTTGTCCATACACATGCTCATAGCAGCTTATTTATAACATCCCAAACCCAGAAACCACCCAGATACCTGTCAGCAGTAGAATGAAGAAATGAGTTGTGGTTTATTCGTACAAGAGAATCCTGTAGGTGTCCATGAAAATGGACTCCTTGCTACAGTGGCATGGGTGGCTTCACAAACATAAATGTTCAGTGAAAGAATCTAGACCCAGCAGACTAAATGAATATGTTTATTTAGTAAAATTTTAAAAATAGGAAAAGCTTCTTACAGGTGTACAAAAACGTAGGAAAAGTGTATTGCAGCTTTTAGGGATGCATGTTTGTGTGATAAAAATACAAAGAAAAGCAGTGGAATTAGAACCACGAAATAGGCTGTGTTTACCTTTTAGAGCGAAATAGGGGAATGACTGGGAAGGGAATAGAGAGGATTCTAGGTGCTGACAGTGTTCTGCTCTGTGACCTGGGTGATACTTAACAGGTCAATGTTCACTTTGTAATAAATCACTAAGCTGTTCACTGTTGTCCTCTGTGTGTGTGTGTGTGATATATTTCATAATTTCAAAGGGTTTAAAAAATTACAACCTTTTAATGAAAGAGAAGAAAAGAAATCCTATCCAGGAAGATGTAGGTATTGTATACCTTTTTACTTTCTTCATTTTAGAGAGGGAACAAATGTGAGGGATGCTACTGTATACAATTGGGTGATGTATTTCCTAGACTGAAGGAAGTAGTAAGTTAAAATTTATATGTGCGTTCTTTTTTATCCCCCCTTGCCAAGAAATGAAGATTATACCAACTCCTTTTTCTTCATAGAAACATAAAATCTTTTTTTCCCCTACATATATATTTGTTACAGCCTCACATATTAATGTAGAAATTTTCTTAAGAAATTAAAAATGGGCTCAGTGCCTGTAGCTCAGTAGTTAGGGCTCCAGCCATATGCACTGGAGCTGGCAGGTTCGAGCCCAGCCAAGCCTGCTGAAACAACAATGACAACTACAACAAAAAATAGCCTGCTATTGTGGCAGGCACCTGTAGTCCCAGCTGCTTTGGAGGCTGAGGCAAGAGAATCACTTAAGCCCACGAGTTTGAGGTTGCTGTGAGCTGTGATGCCATGGCACTCTCCCAAGGGTGTCATAGTGAGACTCTGTCTCAAAAAAAGAAAAAGAAAAAATGCCTATAGCATTTTAAGCTTGCTGACAAACAATTGGTGGTTTGTGAGCTGAGTCCAAATTCTATATTAATGGAGTTAAAACAAAAAGAAACAAGACTGCCCAATGTGTTATATATCTTACTGGGAAATCAAACATAACTGTTCTACCTTTTCTCTTCTGGAATTAGGAAAAAATTATGTAATTTCCTGCATATAATCTTTTCATTACTGGACTCTTGATTAAGTTCAGTGACTTAGGATAAAATCTTGCTAAATGTAATAGTTAATGTCACCATACTTTTGCAACTAGTTTTTTCTTTTGTAATATTGCTGTTTGTCAATGGGCAGTGCAATTTTGAAGTAAGAGCTTCATGATCTGCTAGCAGAAAAGAGCTTGACTTACTGGTTTTTTTCCTCGTTTTTGGAATTAGCAGTGCATAGTAATAATAAAGTGTAATTTCCAAAGGAAATGTAAATTCACCCATGTCTATTTCCATCTCTATAGAATGCAGCAGTAAACTAGAATTCTAAAGTGATTTCCACAAATCTGCTTACATAGGCTTAAAAGACATTGCTTCTTCATGATGTCCCTATATGTTTTCCATACCCTTTGTGTCATTCTAGCCCTTCTACGTTCAAAGCTCCCTATTGGACTTGGGTAATTTCTCCAAAATTTGGAGAGTCTTTACATAGTGAAATGATAAAGATGAAGGCATGACCGCATCATATAGGATTTTATACAAGACAGAGAAGTAGTAGACATTCAGTAGAATATATATATTAAAATTTTCCTGGTATATAGATTATTATTAATATGCCTTATATTTTATGGAGGTCTGTCTGCCAGTCATTGTGTGCTAAGCAGTTTACAAAGATTATCCTTTTTAATCCTCAACAAGTCTGTGAGGATAAGCATTATATTTTACTTCACTTTATAGATAAGAAATAAAATCTTTGAGAAAATGTGACTTTCCTATGGTTTCAAAGATGCTAGGTTTTTGTTTTGTTTTTGTTTTTGTTTTGAGACAGAGCCTAAAG